TGTGATTTGATACGGCAGAATCAACAAGTCAAAATTTAAATAAAGAATTATCAGACGTTTTCACTATATAAACAATTCAAAATTAACTCAAATATGGAGAGATAAGTAACATAATATAGCTGAAAGATTACCAAAATACGTGAGTTTCTACTCCACCCAAACTTGATCTGCAACCTCAACCAAAAAAAGCAAAAAATTGTTTTGTTGTTGACAAAAAATCACACAGATGAAGATTTATAATTTGTAGTATCCTAAAACTCCAATAATACCAAGAACAATTAAAAAATCATAAAACTTTATGAACAAGACTTTGATACCATGATAACTTTTGATTTAAAAGAATTTTGATTGGATGGCTTGATGTCTTTTTGCCCTTCTTTCATTGAATAAATAAGTGAATGTACAAAAGTTAAAAAAGCTAATTTAAAATAAATTACAATAATCAAAGTTGATATCTTTCTAGGTACAGGTATATAATCTAATTATGGAAAGATATAAAATATACAGACTGTATAAATTAAATGTTTTTTATTTATGGCAATGCTAGTCACCTTGAAAAATATTCTTTTAATAATTGATGCTGGTATTCTTCATTACTTTTTGGATGGCAAATTTTCTCGTGATAAGGATTGCTTTGTTCTTGACTAAAGCAAGTATACTATCATTTATTGCATCGACATGGTACGACTGTAAGTCTCTAGCTATCTTTGTCTAGTCTCATGGTCATATTGGTAAAGACTCTAGTTCACTAATTTCAGATGTTCTTTATATCATAGCGTTGGAGTTTCGAAATATTTTACCCTAACTTCTTCTAGATTTCCTTTACTGTCAACCAAGTTTGCCAGCCATGCATGAATCTCATGAGGACCATATTTTTTGTTGAAAAACGTATATTACGCTATATACAAACATTCTACACTATAACCTTAGTTTACTTTGAATCCCCTGTGCATTTATTAAGATAATTGGTGGCAAACTAGGTAGGATGCCTTCATATCTGTAGGTCTACCAGAAGATATTACATTTTTTTTGTACCAATTTGATCTTTTGGTGTTCTAAGAAGCAAACTATAATTTATCATCTCGATGCTGAGGCCAAGTCTCTTGCTGTTTGTCGGGCAGTTTGACTTATCGTGGTTATAATACATGCTCAGGGAGCTTCATTTTGCTTCATCCTATCTTATTTTCTGTGACAATGTCAGAATTGTTTATATGGCTTCTAATCCAGCTAATCATACTCATTTTAAGAATATTAACATAGATATTCATTTTGTTTGAGGAAAATACAAGAAATTCAATTAGTAGTACGATTTGTTGCCAGTCAATATCAGTTAGCTAACTTTTCACTAAGGGACTTTTCTTCTACAAGGTTCAATGACTTGCA